AGTTGGCGCAGGATAGAGCAGGGTTTAGGGCTGTTGTGCATAGGGTCGCTATGAGTCGGAAACGACTCGACGGCACATAACAACAACAACAACAACATGATGAAAGACAATTGTCCCAGTTAATTCCAAAACCTCAGCTAAACACTAGTCAAGTGATAAGGCCACCTGGGACTAGCTAGCTCTGGTTAATTTTCCAGTTGCAAACATGAGTGACAGACAATACATGAAACAGAGATGAGTTGTCTCAGTTAAGATGTGCTCAGATTGTCAACTCACATAATCTTGAGAAAATATGTGGAGACAAAGTTGTCAAATTTTGGAGTAGTTTGTTAAACAACAGTAGTCAACTGGCACAAAGGCAAATACATTTTCTATTTACAAAGTAAATATGTACTTGAGTAATAAGTGTGCAGTTGAAGTCACTAGTTATTTGTGATTATTAAAGCCTTTCATCTGATTGAATTAGACCAACTCAGATAATTTATAATATCTTGCACAACACCACATAGATCATAGTTCAAGAACAAGGGATTATCGCCTACACTAAGAGCCCTGGTGATGCAGTGATTAAGCATGGAACTGCTAACAAAAATCCAGTGGTCCAAACCCACCATGGAGAAAAGATGTGGCAGTCTACTCCTACAAATATTACAAACATGATACCTATGGAGCATGTCTATTATGACTTTTAGAGCTGCTGTTTTAACCAATATACTCCTTGGAGGCAAGGATGGTTAGACTTTGCCTCACATACTTTGGGCATATTGGCATAAGGAACCAGTTCTTGGAAAAAAGACACCATAATGAGAAATGCAGATGGTTAGAGAAGGAAAAGGAGACCCTCAACCAGATGGATTGACGCAGCGACTGTAACAGTGGATTCAAGCATATCAGAGACAGCAAAAGGATGATGCAGGATAGGGTAAAGCTGAGATCTGTTGTCCATAAGGTTGTTATCAGTTATAGTTGACTCAGTCATGTCTAACAACACAAGAACATGAGTCAGAATCAACTAGACAATCGTCAGCTGGTTGTTTTTGTTTGTTTTGACAGCTTAGCCAAGCTGACACATAAAATTGATGTTGTTGTTGTTGTTGTTGTTGTTAGGTGCTGTCAAATCAAGTACTTGGCAGTCACTATGTGAATCCACCTGATGGAAGATCTTCCTTTCCCTCACTAACCCTCTACTTCTCGAGCATCATGTCTGATCCAAGGAAGACATGATGACTTCCTATAATTGACTACTACTCCTTTTAACATAACTATATAATTTTATGATTTATTACTAAATCAGAAATCCCATATGGATTGAAAGCCTTGTTCACTAATGTAATCTGTAGTAAACATCCAATAGATACTTGCTGAGTTAAATAGAAATATTACATCCTCAGGACATTATCTCTGATTTCCCACTGTCCTGGAACAGAAGCCCTCAGCTCTAAAATTCGGTATTGCTCTTCTCTATTATTTAGATAATAAATAATGACTGCTCAGTTTAGAGACTTACTTTGCATATAGTTATTTAACTTTTTCTTCATTCCTTCATTCTACTTCCACCCCCTGGGGAAAAAAATAAAAACCAGGATGTTTTTTAATTAAAGTAATATATAGAAAGAACATTTATGCAAAATGGCAGTGTTGTGTCGTCTGATATCTTCAACTGCAGCAATGGTCTTCCATTTAGCTATGTGCATGCACTCATTTTACCAGCATATATTAAGCACAAGATACATCAAATATTATAAAACTTTTGAGATGGAGATTTGATTTCTTGCTGCAAGCGGGCTGGTGTGGCCATCGGGAGATTGTGTGAAAAACGTGATGGCAAATGTGTGATCTATGAATCCTACGTGTGCCCCTGCACCCTGGTGTGCATATATGATGAATGTAATTACGGCTCTTACCAGGGACGCTGTGTGATTTGCAGAGGCCCTGGAATCTCTGATGCCTATTATTGTAAGGAATGCACCATCCAGGAGAAAGATCACGATGGTTGTCCAAAGATTGTCAAATTGGGGAGTTCTAAGACTGAACTCTTCTATGAACGCAAGAAATATGGCTTCAAAAAGAGGTGATTGACTGATAGTCCCTACCTCCCCCCCCGCAATCAAGCTGCTGCAGCTGCCAGAAAAAACACCAAGCACCACCAGCAGAAAGGAAGTGGGGGCTGAACACCTCCAGACTTGCCTGTTAGTATCCTGGCCCCTTTCCTTCTCCTTCCTCACTCCTCACCCCATCATGTAGGAATGGAACGGGATTCCTCCTAGTGCACCTTACCTGACTTTCTCAGAAATTCATCAGTAGTTCATGGTTTGTTTTGAATTAAAGATGAAGCCTCCACTTACGTGGATATGCTCTCTACATCAGCACCTTCTGAAATGACGGTATCATTGCTTTGGTTCGAGGAGTCACCTCTGAGGCTGTCCTCATTATGACAGTGGAAAACACGCTCTTAAAGCGGCTCTGATGGGGACTTAGCAGAACAATAAATGCGGGGTTTGATCTTGTAAAAAAAAAGTTTTGAAATCACAGGGTACCCTGGTGATGTAGTCTATAAAGAGGTTCCAATCCACTAAATAGGCAATTTCGTCTCCTTAGCCATTTCCTACCAATGACAATCACGGATATATATGACCACAGGGAAAAAGTTAAGGTCTCTCTGTCTTTTAAGTGCGTAAGTCTTGTGAAGAATTATGAACTAACGACTGAATCCTGTCTCCACTCATTAGTTCAACTCACGTATTCTTGGTCATTGTAACTTTTAATATTTAAGCCAATTGTCAACATTGGAAAAATAAATGTCTTCCACATAAGCATCAGAGTTTCTGATTTCCCTTGATTTAACAGAAGACCATATATTTCTAAATGGTATAAGAAGCCTCTTCTGACTGGATAGCTCCAGTTTGCCACTATGTATTACTCCCAGTGTTAAACGGAGTACTGGTGGCATCTTGCTGTTGTTAGCTGTTGTGGAGTTGAGTATGACTCATAATGACACTCTCAACAGCAGATCTGAACTGTGACTTATCATGTGTCGATCTCACAATCTCTGGCATACTTGAGTCCATTAACACAGTCACTGGGTCAATCTTTCTAGTTGAGGGTCTTCCACCTTTTCATCGGCCTCCCGCATTTCTAAGCATGATATCCCTCTCCAAGAAATAGCCTATCCCAGAAATATGCACAAAGAATGTGAAATGAAGCTTCATAATCTTTACCTTGAAGGAACACACTGGCTGCATCTTCTACAAGGTATACATATTTGTCCTTTTGGCATCTATGGAATATTCAGTGCTCTTCTCCAATGCCACAGTTCAGAGGCATAAATTCTGTATGTTATCCTTATTAACTGTCCAGTTCTCAGTAGTATAGTAAGTAACTGAAAAGACTATGGCCTGAAGAAGACACACCTTAGTCCTCAAATTGATATTATTGCTTCTCAGTAATTTGGAGAGGTCCCTGACTGTAGACTTTCCCAGTGCAATATGTCTCCTGGTCTCCTGCTTGCCAGTACCAAGTGTATTGATTGTGGATTCAAGCAAGATGAAGTTGTTGACAGTTTCAATCTTTTCTCCATCTAGTATGATGTTGCATATTAATTCAGTGGTGAAAATTCTTGTTTTCTTGACATTGAGATGCAATCCATATTAAAGGCTGTAGTCTTTGATCTTCTGCAGTAAATGCTTCAAGTTCTCCTCATTTTCAACAAGCAAGGTTGTATATAATCAGCATAACAAAAGCTGTTGATGAATCTTCCTCTGATCCTGATGGTACATTCTTCTGCAAACAGTTTAGTTTTTAAATAATTTTCTTAGCATGCAGATTGAATAGATATAGAGAAATCATACAACGGTGACACATACTTTTCCTGATTTTAAAGCATGTTGTTGTTGTTGTTAGGTGCTGTCGAGTAGTAGATGGCTCATAGCGACCCTGTGAATGAAAGGCCTGAGCACTGTTCATACACAGAGTTTCTGGTGGCAAGCCATTTCAGAAGTGGATGACACTCCTGCTTCCAGGCTTGTTTTAGTCAGGAAGCTCCAGCAAACACTGTTCACTATGGGTAACCATTACCACATTTGGCACATCATTGTCGCAGTGTTCAGCATCACAGCAACCACGAGTTACCTCTGTACAGCAATGCACAGAGCAGTGCTATACCACATAGAAGAATGACAGGAAAACAATTTGAACCCAGCCTGAAGGCCGCTGATTAAAATCACCCACCTTCGGCTTGGTAGTATAACTTTCTGTCCACTAGGCCAACGTCGCTCTCTCTATGTCGTCGTTGCTATTACTATTGTTGTATATAATTGTATATATTATTCTGTTTGCACATGTAAAAAGAACAAGGGCAACATGGAAACAGCCATGTCTGACCTTTACCAGCTTCACAAAGGGGAACATCAACAGCATTAACAACATAAAACCACTTCTCATGAGGTCAGACATGTCCCCATGCTCCTGTACTTTTTCTACTCATTTCAATATTCTTCTTACTGCTTTATTGGGTTCAAAATCCAATGTGATAGCACACAGACTACACAGAACAATGTTGAAAAAGTCAAAAGGTTATAATCCAAGTTAGTAGCAGAATACAGTCAGGATAGATTTGAAATGTGCTCACAGGCACCTAAGCCTTGAGCCTCACTGGCTGTTTTTCGTGAGTTTGTTGGGTGTTTTTTTTTTTGCTTTTGTTTCTGTTTTTCTACTCAGAATTGTACCATTTTCTCCACTAATCCATCAGAAAGAGAGAGTTCAAAGGGTGATCATTCTCATAGCACGTGCCATACAACGTTCAATTAAACAATGATGATTGAGGGTAGAGAAGGCTCGTTACTTACTTCCCCAACAAATGTAGGTCTCAATCTCTTGTGTTCAAATACCTCCCACTACTGCAGACCAAGATTGCACTAGGTTATGGACAGGTTATTTCACAAACCATCTTTGTGGAAACTACAGCATCGGACAAAGGCTCTGTAGGGGCTCACAGTTTTATGCCATGTACAAAGTTCTTAATTCTGCCAATATTGACTTCCCCACACCACACCCCACCAAGTTGTCCAACAAATTTGTGCAAAGTTCACTCCATCTCGTGTGAGGCCTCTGGTTCTCCGCTGTGGCTGCTATAGCTGTTGCTGTGGTCGTGGAGGATGAGTTGCATTCTCTTGCTTGCTCTTCTTTATTAGCAGTGAGGCTTCTGCTTTCTGCTGCTGGATCCACTCAATTTAATGGTGAGACTAACCAACTTCCTTGTGGATTGGTGAGACTAGCCAATCCCCTTGTGGATGGTGAGACTAGCCCATATCCTCGTGCATAGGCTAACAGACCGTATTTGCATATTCCTACCCTTCCACATTTCTTCTAGGTGGTATAGCACTGGTCTGTGCATTGCTGTACAGAGGTAACTCGTGGTTGCTGTAATGCTGAAGACTGTGACAGTGATGTGCCAATCGTGGTAATGGGTACCCACGGTGGGCAGTGTTGGCTGGAGCTTCCCGACTAAATTAAGCCTAGAAGTGGGAGCAGCATCCACTTCTGAAATGGCTTGCCTCCAGAAACTCTATGTACAAACAGTGCTCAGGCCGTTTGTTCATAGGGTCACTATGAGTCGTTTATATGACTCGATGGCATCAAACAACAATAACAATGACAATGACAAAGAGAGAGCTACGTTGGCCTAGTGGAAAGGAAGCTGTGCTACCAAGTCGAAGGTGGGTGATTTTCATCTGTGGCCCTCAGACTTGTTCAAATTGTTTTCCTGTCAATAATTCTTCTAGGTGGTATAGCACTGGTCTGTGTGTTGCTGTACAGAGGTAACTCGTGGTTGCTGTGATGCTGAAGACTGTGACAGTGATGTGCCAATCGTGGTAATGGGTACCCATGGTGGACAATGTTGGCTGGAGCTTCCCAACTAAATCAAGCCTGGAAGGAGGAGCGACATCCACTTCCGAAATGGCTTGCCTCTGAAAACTCTATGTACAAACAGTGCTCAGGCCGTTCATTCATAGGGTCACTATGAGTCATCTACACCTCGACAGCATCAACCAACAACAACAACAACCCTTCCACATGGCAAAGGCAAATTCAATGACTAGGAAAGTCATATTCAAAAACAAACTCCAAAGTACAATAGCCTCTTTGGAGGTTTTGGGTATGGATTTTGCTTGAGCACAATTAAGTGTCGTGCGATTTCCATTCTTCTCAAGGTTAGCCACTGTTTGTTATGATCCTACACAGTGTCAAATGCCAGAAGTGTCACCAGGGTGGACAAGTTTTAAAAGAGTTCCCAGGTTAAGACAGACTAGGAGGCAAAACTGGCCATCCACTTCTTACACAGCAGCCTTTAAAGATCCAATGAACAATATGGGAAAATGGATAGTCTGGTGGTTTAGTGCTAAGAAATTCCTATGCCATATCAAGAGTATGCGTTTTGAAAACACCAGTTGCTCCACAGGGGAAAGATAGGCAGGCCGTCTCCTCTCATGTGATATATTACCTCTGAAAACCAGATGGAGGGTCAGCTATGGGTTGGTTCTAACCCAACAGTATATAATAACAATATTAAAAGTAGATATAAATTGTTTCTTATCATCTTATCTTACCCTGATTTAGTCATCTGGACTAATTTCTTAACCCCACACTACTACTAACTTTGGAAGGGTCAGTGAAAGTGAGGATGATCCTCAATGGGGCGCATTGACATAGTGACTACAGCAATGGGCTTAAGTATGTCAGCGACGATAAAGGTGACGCAGGCTAGGACAGCGCTTAGATCTGTTGTTCATAGGGTTGCTATGAGTTGTGCTCAACTTGACGGCACCTAACAACAACAGTATAATTGATGTAGGGAACTCGGGTGACTTAGTCTATGTGTAGCTGCAACAGCTAACCTAAAAGCAATTCATATTCAACAGTGAGTCCTCTCATTGTGATTTACAGCCTCTGAAACTCATGTAGAGCCATTATGAGTCAAAACCAATCAAACAGCAGTGAGTATGGTGTGGTAGTCCAGTTGATTGCATTCTATAATACAGTGTTAAGACTTTTTTCCTTTTTTTGCTTTTTCTTCCAC